TAGTCCCGCCTTAGGTATGAAAGCCGGCTGGGTGACTTTGGGCCAATCACCAAGAGATTGTGAGTTCTAGTCCCGCCTTAGGCCTGAAAGCCGGCTGGGTGACTTTTGGCCAATCACCAAGAGATTGTGAGTTCTAGTCCCGCCTTAGGTATGAAAGCCAGCTGTGTTACTATGGACCAATTACCAGGAGACGAGTTCTAATCCCATTTTAGGCATGAAAACGATCTGACTTTGGGCCAATCACCAGGAGACTGGGAGTTCTAGTCCCACCTTAGCCATGAAAGCCAACTGGGTTACTTTGGACCAATCACCAGGAGAGGATGAGTTCTAGTCTCACCTTAGCCATGAAAGCCAACTGGGTTATTTTGGGCCAATCACCAGGAGACAGTGAGTTCTAGTCCCACAGCCATGAAAGCCAACTGGATTACTTTGGGCTAATCACCAGGAGACTGGGAGTTCTAGTCTCACCTTAGCCATGAAAGCCAACTGGGTTACTTTGGACCAATCACCAGGAGACGGTGAGTTCTAGTCCCGCCTTAGATATGAAAGCCAGCTGGGTTATTTAGGGCCAATCACCAGGAGACTGGGAGTTCTAGTCCCACCTTAGCCATGAAAGCCGGCTGGGTGACTTTGGGCCAGTCCCTCTCTCTTATCTCAACCTACCTCACAGGTTGCTCCAGTAGGGAAAACCGGAGCTGGAGGTGTGTCGGATATATTCATTGCCTTGAATTACATGTTTGTGAAAATAACGATGGCATGGTATAAACAAAGCAATTATCTCTGACACAATGCATTCACTGGCTTTGCTGTTCAACATCCTTGCTCCCAGTTTCCTGCCTGCGTTCGCTTTCCTTTCCCCTATCAATAAGTAACAGGTAGTTCTCACCTTACAATCATCCATTTAGTGGCCATTCAAAGTGTCTTTCTACTCCTCGGTCATCCAGCCCGACTGTCCAGTTCTCCTCTGATTCTGTCTGCTCTTCTTCCTTTTCATTAGCAGGAGCATTGGAGTGGTTGTCATGACACCCCCATCAGCCAGGAAACCCAAAAGGAAACCTCTTTTCAATTTTTTACCCCTCCCCCCCTTAGAAAATACCAAGCAGCAAACTAGCCAGCTGGTAAATCACCACACTAGGAGGTAGTGATAGGATAGGTCGAAGATTGGGTGCTAATCTTCTAAGTGTGTAGTGGGGTGCCCCGGGGCTCTGTTCTGGGCCCAGTGCTCTTCAACATCTTCATCAATGATTTGGATGAAGGGATAGATGGGGAACTCATCAAATTTGCAGACGACACCAAGCTGGCAGGAATAGCCAACACTCCAGCAGACAGGCTTAGGATACAGGAGGACCTGGACAGACTTGAACACTGGGCGCTATCTAACAAAATAAAATTCAATGGGGAAAAAAACAAGGTTCTACCTTTAGACAAGAAAAACCAAATGTACAGGTATAGTATAGGTGGTACTTTGCTCAATAGTAGTAACTGTGAGAGGGATCTCAAAGTCCTAGTGGACAATCAGTTAAATAGGAGCCAGCCGTGTGCTGCAGCTCCCAAAAAGGCCAACATAGTGCTGGGCTGCATTAACAGAGGGATAGAATCAAGATCACGTGAAGTATTAATACCCCTTTACAAGGCCTTGGTAAGGCCACACTTGGAATACTGCATCCAGTTTTGGTCACCAAGATGTAAAAAAGATGCTGGGACTCTAGAAAGAGTGCAGAGAAGAGCAACAAAGATGAACAGGGTACTGGAGGCTAAAACATACAAAGAACGGTTGCTGGAATTGGGTGTGTCTAGTTTAATGAAGAGAAGGACAAGGGAGGACAGGATAGCAGCTTTCCAATATCTCAGGGGCTGCCCCAAAGAAGAGGGAGTCAAGCTATTCTCCAAAGCGCTGAAGGCAGGACAAGAAGCAACGGATGGAAACTAATCAAGGAGAGAAGCAACCTGGAACTAAGGAGGAATTTCCTGAGAGAACAATTAATCAGTGGAACAGCCTGCCTCCAGAAGCTGTGAATGCTCCAACACTGGCAGTTTTTAAGAAGAGACTGGACAGCCATTTGTCTGAAATGGTGTAGGGTTTCCTGCCTGAGCAGGGGGTTGGACTCGATGACCTCCAAGGTCCCTTCCAATTTTATTATTATTATTATTATTATTATTATTATTATTATTATTATTAATCATCATCATCATCATCATCATCAAGGAAGAAGATGGAATAACAGCGTTGGAAGGAACTTTGGAGGTTATCTAGTCTTGTAGTCCAACCCCCTATCCCATTTCAGACAAATGGTTGTCTAATCTCTTCTTGAAAGTGTCCAGTGATGGAGCACCCACAACTTCTGAAGGGAAGTCATTCCACTGATTAAGTATCAGGGTAACAGAACAACAGAGTTGGAAGGGACCTTGGAGGTCTTCTAGTCTAACCCCCTGCTCAAGCAGGAGACCTATCATTCCAGATAAGTGGACTCGGCAGTCCCTTTCCTCCTCCTCCTCCTCCTCCTCCTCCTCCTCCTCCTCCTCCTCCTCCTCCTCCTCCTCCTCCTCCTCCTCTCCAGAAACCTCACTCCCTTCTAGCACTGATGATGTTACCTAGCTGGGCAATGAAATATCTGCAAGAAAACTCCCAAACTCAGAGAGCACTCAAGACCCCACAATCGTCTTCCTCCTCCTCCTCCTCCTCCTCCTCCTCCTCCTCCTCCTCCTCCTCCTCCTCCTCCTCCTCTTCCTCCTCCTCTCCAGAAACCTCACTCCCTTCTAGCACTGATGATGTTACCTAGCTGGGCAATGAAACATCTGCAAGAAAACTCCCAAACTCCCAAACAAGACCCCACATTCAACTCTTTGCATTACATGCTAACTCTCTACTCGAGTCCCTGCTGCACATGTTATAGATAGATAGATAGATAGATAGATAGATAGATAGATAGATAGATAGATAGATAGATAGATAGATAGATAGATAGACAGACAGACAGACAGACAGACAGATAGATAGATTCTTAAGAATGCTAAAAACAAAAAGGTGATTCCTAGGTAAACCCATGTTAACTAGCATAAAAAATGCATGAACACCAGGAAATTCTAAAACTATAAAAAGTTTTAATAGGATAAAATACCAAGCTTTCGCTGGCAGCTTCCAGCATCGTCAGGGTAACTTCCAGTCGATGGGGGAAGCTATTTATAAATGTGGTGCTCTTTGCGCCCGGCTCCTAGACCTTGTTACAGGTCCCAGCCAATCCACCTGCATTTTGGTCATAGCTTCTTTATTGCTAGCCGTTATTTCCTTGCTTTCCTTGCTTGCTTGTATAGGATATGATAATCAAGGTCAGAGGTCAGCGTTGAATCTGCAATCTGTTTTATAAGCACCTGAAGGCAGGACAAGAAGCAATGGGTGGAAGCTAACCAAGGAGAGAAGCAACCTAGAACTATGGAGAAACTTCCTGACAGTGAGAACAATTAACCAGTGGAACAACCTGCCTCCAGAAGCAGTAAATGCTCCAACACTGGAAGTTTTTAAGAAGAGACTGGACAGCCATTTGTCCGAAACGGTATAGGGTTTCCTGCCTGAGTAGGGGGTTGGACTAGATGACCTCCAAGGACCCTTCCAACTTTACTATTATTATTATTATTGTTGTTGTTGTTGTTATTATTATTATGATGAATCCTTGAAGAGACAATCCCCAGTGTAAAAATAGGATATTGTCCTAGTATCTCGCTGCTCCTAGTGCATTTTAACAGGCAAGCCTCCAGCCGTTAAGTCCTTGTCTTCCATTCTTGCAGGCTATAACCTGTATTGTTTTGTGTTTTTTTTCCCTCCTAAGCAGAAAACAGAAGCCACAACCTCAAGGGAAGCAGCCAGGAGGCCAGATGCCATAGCTCAGCCCCGATGAATCAGGCAACTTCAGCCCTAACGAAAGCTGCCAATCATGCAGGGGGCTGTCTTGGCACCTAATCCCTGTTACATATGCCTCCAACCTTGCCTTGCTGACAGGTGGGGAACACGATGTGTCACCAACGGCTTGTCATGCCAGGTCTCCATCAGGGAGAAACTGGAGGGGAAATTCTTTTCTGCTGCCTTTCTAGAGAGGGAATCTCTTCATCTGCCTGGTTATATAAAACCCACCCCGGTTTCCTTTTATGGCCCGCTTCCTGCTTCCATAACGAGCCCAGGAAGAACTGTGTGAGTGAGCATCAGCTGCGACGTCGGGTGGGCGGAATGTGGAACGAAACAACCCATTCAAGGACTTGGCGCCGGGAGACCGTGGTGACGGGCGGGGTTGATGGGTTGGGGAACCCAGGTGAGAAGGGTATGGCCCTTTCTGACCCCTATGGTCTAGGAAGTCCCCCTCTCACCATCCCATGGGAAGGCTGGGACCCTTTCTGACCTCCCATAGTCCAGGAAGCCCTCTGTCACCATCCCTGGTCCTGTGGAGAAGAGGCTGGCAATCAAATGCCCGCTTCTCTGCTTATCGTGATCTTTTTGCTCAAGTCTTGAGAGTCACCCAAGGGCAAGGATTAGCAATTGTGCAGGAAAATACATCAGATCTGGAGGTGGAGGGGGCCTGGGTGTCCAACCTATGCGGTGGCCAGTGGGGTGTGACAGTTCATTGGCTTAATCTCCCCGCTTTGTCAAGAGAGCGATTTAATGAGGACCTTGCTGACTGGAAGATGAATAAGCCCTTTCTCTGCTCTTGAGCTGGGAATGGAGGGGGGGGGAGTAGGAGGATGCCAGGAAGAGAGAGAGAGAGATGGGGGAAGAAAAGGTAAAGGGATTACTCATCCAACTCTCCAACTGTCCCCAGAACCTTTCAAACGCTTCTCGCCTCAAGTCTGGGGGTGTGCGCAAGGGGGTGGCAAAGGCAAACGGGAGGGGGAAGCCGAGAAATTTGCCAGAAGCTGTGTTTTCCCCTGAATGTTTTTTTTCTCTCTCTCTCTCACCCAATCAGAGGCTCCTTGCTGATGAGCAAAGAGGCCTGGCTACACCCACGTACGGAGCTGTGTGCAGTATAAGTATGGGTCTCCATCTGAGTGAGTGGCAGAGCAGAGAGAGAAACTGAACAGCTCTCTGCTTTGCAACTCTCGGAGAAGGAAAAGCACACGCTCTTCGTTCGCTGAAAGTTCTCAGGAGGGTCTGGAACCCGCGGAGAAGCAGCGCAGGCAGCTGAGAGAGGTGGCCTCCAACCCATCAAGAGGAACCTGAGAGATCTGCTTGGGAATTAAAGCCTTCTAGACGAGGAGGAGGAGAAGAAGAAGAAGAAAGAAGTCAGGGCTGGGGAGAACTTTCCTGGTTTGCTCTGTGGACTTTTTGCTTCAACGCCAAGTGGAGTTAGACGGCCACAATTTTTCTGGGGGGATCTCTGATTCAGTTGTGTTTGGTGCTTCTGGGGAGAAGAAAGCAAGTCAGTTCCTGGGCAGAGTGGTTTGGAGAAGAGTCACTTGTTGAGGGTGGAAGTGTTCTGGGGCTACAGTAGCAGAGGTAGAAACGATGCAGGTGGACAACTTCAACCATGGGAACCTCCATTCTTCCCAAGGTCACCGCGGGATGGCCAACAACAAGCCCAACGTCATCCTTCAGATAGGAAAGTGCAGGGCTGAGATGCTAGACCATGTGAGGAGAACCCATCGGCACCTCCTGACCGAGGTGTCCAAACAGGTGGAGCGGGAGCTGAAAGGCCTACAGAAATCGGTGGGGAGACTGGAGAACAATCTAGAGGACCACGTTCCCTCAGCCGCAGAGAACCAGAGATGGAAGAAGTCCATCAAGGCTTGTCTGGCTAGATGTCAGGAGACCATTGCTCACCTGGAGAGGTGGGTCAAGAGGGAGATTAATGTCTGGAAGGAAGTCTTCTTCCGCTTGGAGAAATGGGCCGATCGGTTGGAATCTGGCGGGGGGAAGTACCCTCATGCTGATCACGCCAGGCAAACTGTCTCGGTGGGCGTAGGGGGTCCGGAAATTCAACCCAGCAAAGATGAGATTTATGATTACGCCTTAGACATGAGTCAGATGTATGCCCTGACCCCTCCTCCTATCGGGGAAGCCCCTAGTGTGCCTCAGCCCCATGACTCCTATCAGTGGATCACTGTCCCAGAAGATACGCCATCCTCCCCGGTGGAGACCCAGATTTTTGAGGATCCCAGGGAATTCCTGACTCATCTGGAGGATTATCTGAAGCAGGTGGGTGGGACCGAAGAGTACTGGCTCTCGCAGATCCAGAACCACATGAATGGTCCTGCCAAAAAATGGTGGGAATACAAGCAGGACTCGGTCAAGAACTGGCTGGAGTTTAAGAAAGAGTTCCTCCAGTACAGTGAGGGTACTCTGACACGGGATGCCATCAGACAGGAACTGGACCTGCCCCAGAAGAATGGGGAGCCCCTTGACCAGTTCCTTTGGCGCAAAAGGGACTTATACCAGACTCTACACACAGAGGCTGACGAAGAAGAGATCATCCAGTATGTTGTAGGGACCCTCCAGCCCAAACTTAAGCATTTTCTTAGCCACCCCTACCCCAAAACCTTAGAACAGCTGATCCAGCGGGGCAAGGAAGTTGAGGGCAACTTTGATCATTCTGAGGAGCCCAGTCCCCAGAGGTCCCCCAAAAACCAGTTAGGAGGATCAGTGGAAAGTTTACCCCCTTCTTCGACTGCTAGCCCTGTCGCTAGTGATGAAACCCATCCAGATGTTTCTGCTCCACCAGCCACGGTGATCTGAGCCCAGAAAACAAGGCACTAGACACACAGGTGGGAACTATCAGCTTCTTGAGCAGGTTTGTTCCCATTCAGTGGGTGCCTCGGGCTACCCTGAAGATACTGAGATCTCAGCTCAGCAGCTGGTTGAAGGTGACTGGCTTTTTCTTCTGGTATCCCACGTGGAGATCATAGCAAGCTTGAATCATCTGAGGTGCTTCAAGCTGGAACCTCGGTAGCTGAGTTTGAGAATGGCTTTCTAAAAGCAAGGATTGGACGATGTTATCAAGGTAGGAATCCTTCTTTTGAGGCAGAGACAACTGTGTCCCCGTGGGTGATGATTCCCTAGGGATTTAAATAGACACCAACACAGAAGGTCCATCCTTCTAACGTCAGTTCTGTCCTTCAACGTGGTTTTCCTTCCAGGCATTCTCTCGTCCTTCCAGGTAGCTGTTGAGAGATGACGTCTGTTTATCTCTGCATTAGCCAATGGATTTACTGACTTTCTAGGAAGTTTCTATTTTTTTATAATTTCCTCGGCATCTTTTAGACCAAGCTCCAAAACCTGTTGGAAAGCAAGTTTCAAGTGTCCTGGCAGAATTTCAACAGAAATTCCAGCCACCACTTGAAGTTGTGTTGTTTTGGCCTCCGTTGTGATTCTTAGATGGGTCTCTGGATTCTCTCTGACCTGATTTTTAAGGTCCTTCAGCTCCAGGAAAGCCCTTAGTAGATACAAACTTCCCACCTTTCCTTCTCTAAATCCATGCCATTGAGAGGAGAAGGGTTCATACAATTGAATGTCTTGCCTCATACACGAGGGCGATAAGCAGAGTTCTAGAGAAGATAGAGATTTTTAAGAAATGTCTATGGGGTTCAGAAAAACATAGAAGACGCTGAGGTTGGAGGGATGCATAGACTATAAGAAGGGAAAATGTTGCACAAACACAGCTTGAATGTAGAATTTATCCCGCCTACAAGAACATCTACTAAAGTTGTACTAGCTTTCGCTAGTTGAAAAAAAAAATGGACTGAGTATTTCAGTAGTGGGGATCACCTTACCAAAGGTGTAAAGACCCTTGAAGCTGTTTAGCTGAGCCTCATTTGATGATGCAAACAAGAAGCAAATTGGGAGGAAGATCCGCAACTTTGAGACTCTTGTGCAGTTAAAGACAGAAAAGAAGAGAGAAGTAAACACCAAAGTTCGTATCTTGGGCAGACAACGTGGCATGCAGAGGAGGTGATGAAGAGCAGCTGTGAAAATCTTGCTGGGAACCATGGGGAGATGTGATTCCTTCCCATAGGCTAGAGGTAAGTAGCTAGCTCTTGGCTTTTTGTCTTTCCCAAGTTTAATGTTGTTGATGATGATGACAACTTGGGCTAGTTTAGGCTGGATTCACACAATGCATGACGTGAACATGGGTTTGGGGACTTGATGGTTTAGCAGGACCTCAGGTTAAGGCACAATGGGGTTGGGACCTAGCATGAACACCAGAACACCTATGCTTTTCTGGTGTCACAAAAATTTGGGGATTTCTGGTATGAATCTGCTCCTCCTTTTGCTCCTGTTGGCAGTCCAAACTCTTTGCAAAAGGGAAGGAGCAGTCAAAATTACATTTTGCTCCTCTGAAAAGAAAGAGGAATGGCAACTGGGTTGTGTGAACGAGGTTATTCTCCCGACTGCTGTGTGTAAGCATTTCTTTATCTTCGAGAGCAAACTGGCTGAGGGATTTTTGTGCAAATGAAACAATCCAACTGGAGCTTAATGAGGAAGGAAGGAAGGAAGGAAGGAAGGAAGGAAGGAAGGAAGGAAGGAAGGAAGGAAGGAAGGAAGGAAGGAAGGAAGGAAGGAATATCTCCTAATATTAAGGGTTGATGTGCTGAAGCAGGTTTAGTTCACACTTCATGTTATGCTTCTGTTACAGTGACTCATTCAAAACTGGCTGCGAGTTCAGCGCTTCCTGAATCACACGTGGAGCAGAGATGGAGACGGAGGGACGGTTCTGGAAAAGCCCAGAAAGCAACAGAGTTGGATGGACGTCATCTTCCCCTAGCTCCTGCTGCTCTCGCAGAACGAGTGCCTGAAGAAGGAGAAGGTAATGTGAGTTCTCTATCAGATGGAGAAAGTGCTCTGCCTGCTCTTAACTAGCCTCCAGATAAATGTCCATGGAGGTTCTGGTTGCCATTCCAGGTCCTGGTTGTCCCCAAAGGTGCTTCTTCACGAGGCAACCGGACTTTCTAGTTTTTCTTTGAAGACGTTAGGCACCTCATCCAAGAAGCTTCTTCCGCTCTGACTGGATGGTGGGGAAGAATGGAAGGTTTTTTTTACAGCTGTCTGCAAGGAGCATAAGTCCTCCCATTCCCCACCGTCCAGTCAGAGCTGAAGAAGCTTCTTGGATGAGAAGCAAAACGTCTTCAAAAGAAAAACAAGAAAGTCCAGGTGCCTCCTGAAAAAGCACCCTGGAGATAACCTCCAGACAGAAGTTCTGGATTCTCCTGATGCTTACACCTCCTCCTGAACTGGGAAGGAGAAGTTTAGATTCCCAATTTCACAGCACACTTTGGGAAAGAGATGCTTGGAAATATCTCTTTGGGACTTCCCTAAAGAGGCAAGACTCAAGAATATCCTACCTTTGTTAGGTCCTGTTTCAAATAGGTCCTTCTACCTTCTCTTCTCTAGAGATTTCTCTGCCTCATCATGCCTAAGGAAAGGATAGGAAACCCTGTACTCCTAACTCCCAGATTTGGATGTGGGGGTTCCCCAACCTCCTGCATTGGCCATGCTGGCTGGGATATACACACTTGCGCCTTTTCTTCCCGTTGTAGTATCCGGTCGCTTAATCTTCTCTTTCTTTCTTTCTTTTTCTTATCATAGGGAGTTGTTTTCTTCTGTGGTTGGTGACATAGCACCTGAATTCTTCAACGGCTTCACCTTTTGCATGCAGAAGTGGTGTTTCCTGAGGAACTGAAGTAGCAGAGGCAACATCTCAGGATGAGCTGCTACCAAGAAAGCAGAGAAGATGCAAGGAAGACGCTGGATAAGAGGCAAAGAGACATTCAAGGGACTCAGAAGGGACATTTCTCTGTTTATTCAGATGGATTCATTCCAAGTTACGACAATGTGCAGGTTGTGACCGAGGGTTGAGGAGGGAAAAAATGGTGGAGGACTTCAACCGGAGCTCCAAAGTATCTAGAACTGAGAAAAATCCTTTCTCAAGGGCCACACTGCATTTTCCTGTCACCTGTGTTGCCCACGAAGATGCTGTAAAAATCAAAATGAAACTGGAAGGTAAATGTTAAAGAAACAAAACAAAAACTTGCAGTCAAAGGTGTTGGGTTAAACAATGCTAGGGGCTTGACAACAATGTATCACAAACGGGGCAATCCAACTTTCTCCTGTAGCCAGCAGTATAAGGACTACAATATTTCTTCCTTCTTCCATTTCTTGAGCCTACGAAGAAGTGTAAAATGTACACACCACTGCATACAGTGGAATTTATCAGAACCTTTTTTTGATGTTCAAAGAAGATATGCTTCACATCCCACCTGTCAAACAGGTTGGTTTGGAGATAGGTATAGATTATTATTGTTGCTTATTACTCTTTTCATCATCATTTTCAGGATTTAGTCTCTTACCCTTAGGTGGGAGTAACTCCACGAATGTATGCTAACGTGCCAAATTTGATCCTATCATCAAATTTGGTGCCCTGGTTACTTGATCCGTTCAGAACTGAGTGCAATGTTACCTTTCAAATAAATGATGATTGTTGTATTAAAAATAGCCTGTTCATGTTAGACATAGTAGAAGGCCAATGGTAGACTTTCTGAGAGTCTATCATGCCTACCTGGACCTTCAACAACTCTTGCTATTGTTTGTCTAGTTTCACAATCAACTGTGTAACAATGCTTTTGGAGTTATCAGAGACGTTGACCAAGGAGATCCATGGATTCTGAGTTTATGGATTGCTTCTTAATGAATTGATGCATCAGCTCTTTTTTGTGGGTCATTGTTTCTCATTAAGAGAGTTGATGCTCTTATTCTCCTTAAGGAGAACCTGGAAAAGGTCTACCAGACCAAGCAAACTCCATACCTGTTGTGCAATATTAATCCATTAGATCTACTGTTGACTTCTGATCTGTTTCTTTGGTTTCTGACTACTGGAACTCACCTGTTCGAGGCATGCTATGAAGAAGACGGTTCCACCACTGCATTATGAGCTGTGGTTTTGGGTACATGGGCTAGAGAACAGGTGCTTTCTTGAGGACTCAAATCACTTGAGCTTGTTCCAGTTGTATGCTGTTTCTTCTACCTTATCACATTGGTGGTGAATTTTATGAGGCTGTGTCAGCCAAAAACATTACAAGAAGAAGAAAGAAAAAAAAAACATTCCCCACATGTAAAGCAGCTCTAGCAAAATGGGCTCATTGTGAGGAAGCATTTGTGTTTGTAGATTTCTGCAATAAAACATTGTGTAATAACTGCTTAAAACAATACAGCTTTACTTCTCATTCGTTGTTTCCAGTCTTTGTTTCTCCTGCTTGGAATACACTCCTGTAACACACACACACACACACACGCATGCACACACACACACACACACACAACAGGTCCACACATGAAGGTTAAATTAAACTGATTTATTTCTAAAAAGCCTATGCACAGGATTCTTCTGAACTAATGGTCAGCATGTGCTTAGAATTAGATAATGGTGAATGGCAATCAAAGAGGGCTGGTCTTAGTTTGCTTGTGGCTACGTAGAGATTCTAGGCTGATACCCCTTTTCACTCCACCCCTAAGTTTTGCAATATCTTCATAAATGACTTAGATGAGGGAATTGAAGGGGAACTCATCAAATTTGCAGATGACACCAAGCTGGCAGGAGCAGCCAAGACCCCAGAAGATAAACTCAGGATCCAAAAAGATCTTGACAAACTTGAACAATGGGCCCTATCCAACAAAATGAGTTTCAGTGTGGAGAAAAGCAAAGTTTTACATTTAGGCAGGAAAAACCAAAGGTACAAGTACAGATTGGCTAAGACCCAGCTCAAAAACAGTCACTGTGAGAGGGACCTTGGAGTCCTAGTGGATGATCACTTGACTATGAGCCAGCAGTGTGCAGCAGCAGCCAAAAAAGCTAACACAATCCTGAATTGTATAAACAGAGGCATAGAATCAAGATCCCTCAAAGTATGAGTACCGTTTTATAAAACCCTAGTAAGACCACACCTGGAATACTGCAGCCAGTTTTGATCACCATATCACAAAAAAGATGTTGAGAGTTTGGAAAAAGTTCAGAGAAAAGCAACTAAGATGATCAAAGGCCTGGAGGCTAAAACATACGAAGAACAGCTGTAGGACTTGGGTTTGGCTAGTCTAAAGAAAAGAAGAAATAGGGGAGACATGATAGCAGTCTTCCAGTACTTGAGGCGCTGCCACAAAGAAGAGAGGGGTCAAACTACTCTCCAATCACGAGAGGGAAGGACACAAAACAATGGCTGGAAACTGATGAAAGACAGAAGCAACCTGGAAATAAGGAAAAACTTCCTGACAGCGAGGACAATTAACCAGTGGAACAGCTTGCCACCAGAAATCGTGGGTCCTCCATCACTGGAGGTTTTTAAGAAGAGACTAGACAGTCACCTGTCTGAAATGGTATAGTTTCTTCTTCTTGAACAGGGGGCTGGACTAGAAGACCTCCAAGGTCCCTTCCAGCTCTATTCTGTTCATACTTGGGATATTAACCAATTTTGGCCTACTTTACTTTCACTGTATCCATGGGTAGCTTTATTGTTTCATTCTTATGAGAAAGGGCAATGATACAGGTAGTCCACGACTTACAACAATTCATTCAGTGACCATTTGAAGTTACAAAGGCACTGAAGAAAGCAACCTATGACTGTTTCTCACACTTATAATTGTTGCAGCATCCACACGGTCACGTGATCAAAATTCAGATGCTTATCGACCAGCTCAAATGTATGTCCTGGCAGTCATGTGATCACCCTTTGGGAACTTCTGACAAAAAAAGTCAATGGGGAGTAACTTGGGCTCACTTGTGGTCGTAAGTCAAGGATTACCTGTTTCAGAACAGGATCACCAAGCATCAACCTGATGTAGGACTTATTGTAGGACAGGAAGCGTGACTCTCAATTTTGTCTGTGTCAGCGCTGCTAACCTCGGATGTTTTTGCTTTGACAACAGTTGTAGATGCAACCATTTTCTTATGTTTTACTCTTAGAGTTATATGATGTTGAGGGGAGGAATGTGCATGAGCGTTTAGCTAGACATAACAATACTAGGCCTAGTGTGTGAACCAAGGTTATTGAAATAAGAGATGATAACAATTGGCGGGCTGGAGAACTGGAGGGAAAGCCTACATTTCAAACTAATCGGAGAATGTGATTTATGACTGTTAATTGGAGGAGGGAATTGTGCTTTGATACTATGTGCTCAGGGGAGGGGAATCTAGGTTTTGGCTTTGATTGTGTTAGTGCTGATGCTATGCTTCTCTAATAAAGATTATTTAAGGTAAAAAATGCCTCAAAGTTCTTTGAAGAGTTTCACTGTTGGAACCATGACAGTCTGATTCTTTAGCAGCCGTCGATGCTGTTGACCACAATATCCCTCTACTCTGTTGTCCTTTATCTATTTGGCACAGGGGGCTCCAAACTTCGCAACTTTAAGACTTGTGGACTTCAACTCCCAGGAACCCCAGCCATCTGGCTGAGGAATTCTGGGAGCTGAAGTCCACAAGTCTTAAAATTGCCAAGTTTAGAGAACTCTGGTTTAGTATCTATATGAAGCTATTTGGTGGTCCTCAGAAGTTCTGGTTCTCAAGCTACCACTGATGATACTACTTCTATTTCTCCAGAACATCCAAATCAACAGAAGCTGTAGTGTACAGTACTGGCCAAAATTGTGGAAACCTTTTGGGAAAAGTGTACAGTAGAAATGCCACCTTTGGTTAAGTTTCCAACAATTTTCCTTCTAATTTTTTTTATAACTGTAGCCTTCTTCACTTAATAATATTATTTTACATCACTTTCTGGATGACTAGTCAACTCTTTGCACCATTACTTTAATTTTATTAGGTTTTACAAGCTCACTGAATGAAAGAACACACACAAAAAAACAACCAACGTGATAGCCATCACATAACACACTGACAAATGTCCTCTTCTCAGCTTCAATCCATGACATCAATAACTGAATCCTACTGTGATCTGATTGACTCATTGCCAAAACAATATGACACCTGATTGGCTCTCTAAACACTCCTCATTGGCTACAATCAGATGAAGGAAAGCTAGCTGAGATCAAACTTAGCAAGTCGTGCTTCCTTTTTCCGGTTATTTGGCTATAACTTTTCATAGAATACAGTACAGATAATTGAATAAACTTTGTTGCATTACATTCTTGATTAACTTATCTTTCCACTGATATATAATTTTATGGTACTACTCCCAAAAAACTGGTGTTATTAGCCATCAAAAATACACTTTTCCCAAAAGGTTTCCACAATTTTGGCCACTACAATATGTTCTGAACCCAGTGATTGGACACAATTGTAAAGATGGATGATAGTCAATTAGCTGAATCCTGCAATGTTGGGATTATCTAGTGGGTGATTCCAGATACAGGCTGGGAATATTGCTTGTTTTCAGTGATGTGGATCTCCCTCAGGGGGAAAAAAACCCAGGTCCATAATTTGGTTATTGTTGTGGGCAGAAGACCAAGTCATCTCCATGCCAAGAATGCATACTGTTAAATTTGATTCTTATCCCAACTGGGCTGGGACAGCTTGGCTGCAATTAGCCATGCAAGGAGAAGAAGACCATGAATGAATTGAGTTCATGGAGGCCTTCAGGAACGAAATGCAGAAAATAAAAGTCAAACATCTATGGAGATTCTCAATCATCCAGGTCATAGTTGTCCCAAAGGTGCTTTTTCAAAAGGCAATTGGACTTCCTTGTTTTTTTTTTTTCCTTGAAAACATTTCACTTCTCATCCAAGAAGCTTCTGAAGCCTGGTTCCAAGGCCCTCACACCCTGAGAGTGACCTGTTAGCTACCTGGCACCTCAGCTTCTCAAAACATCTTTGCAACATCATATTGGTTACTGGTGGACTGACCGCTGAGCGGGAGGAATGAAAGAATAGCTTTGCGCCTTGCGCAGGGTCTTCAGATTCCACCTGACTTTCCTGCAACTTCTTTCTCTCTTACTTTCCTGAGGGACCAGCTGTAGCGGGTCTGTGATGACCCAGGGCCCCGAACGGAGGCAAAGCAATGAACTGGCCAGAGCAATAGTCTTTTTAATCACTGCCAATGTTCACCCAACAGCCCCCACATATGTTGGCACGAGTTCAAACAAAACAGCCAGGGAAGTTTACACTCTCAGCTTGCCTGTGAACTGCAAACTGCAAACTGTAAGGCGAGATCAGCAGGAAGAAAACTGGTCCAGAATACAAAGTGTCCAGGTTACAAGAACACACTATCTCAAGATTTCATGTTTGTTCACGGCAAATGCCCCACCCCACAGCATCTCCTTAAATCCTACTCCCCAGGTGTGCCTTGTGGAGAGGGGCGGGACGCTCTCCTTCCGAGCAATTGAGCTTGCCTCCGTTGTTCCCTCCTCCTCTCTGCTCTCCTTGCTCTAGGATCAGGCAGGGAGGGGCCTTACTCCTCACCTGAACTTTGCCTTCCCTGTTCCAAACTTAAAGGGCCCTGGCCTGCCTCAGCCTGCTCCTCCCTACAGTCCTCCGAAGCCACAGACACCCCCTCCTGGGCCTTAACAGGGAACTCCATGTCTTCCTCGGAGTTGGGCTCGAACGGAGGCATGGCAGGGTCCTTACAGGTCCCTATCCACCCTCTTGGCCTTCTGAAAGGGCCTAAAACCAAGCTCTGCCATTTGGCCTTGACCACCAGAGGGGGAGTATTATTCTGAAGATGGTCAATAGATTTAAGGTAAGATGCCCATCTCCTCCCCATGTGCATCTTCCTCCCTTCATTTCTCAGTTTGAGCTCAAACTTGGTTTTAGTGCGAACCCTCTTTGTTTTTAGCTGTGATATCATCCTCCATCCCTGGAGGTTTGGAAGAAGAGATTGGACAGCCATTTGTCCAGAATAGTATAGGGTTTCCTGCTTGAACAGAGGGTTAGACTAGAACAGGGGTAGGCAACCTTGGCTCTTTTATGACTCGTGGACTTCAATTCCCAGAATTCCTGAGCCAGCATGGAAGAACCATGGCCCCCTTCATGACTGGTGGACTTCAACTCCCAGAATTCCTGAGCCAGCATGGAAGAACCATGGCCCCCTTCATGACTGGTGGACTTCAACTCCCAGAATTCCTGAGCCAGCATGGGGGAAACTTTGGCCCCTTCATGATTGGTGGACTTCAACTCCCAGAATTCCTGAGCCAGCCTGGCTCAGCTTGCAAACCTCTCCCTTTCCCCTCAGCATGGCTGGCTCAGGAATTCTGGGAGTTGAAGTCCACCAGTCATAAAAGAGCTAAGGTGGCCTACCCCTGTCCTAAGTCCTCCTGTTCTAAGCAGTGAGTCTTCTAGACCAGGGGTAGGCAACCTTGGTTCTTTTATCACTCGTGGACTTCAACTGCCAGAATTCCTGAGCCAGCATGAGAGAAACTTTGCCCCCCTCATGACTGGTGGACTTCAACTCCCAGAATTCCTGAGCCAGCCTGGCTCAGCTTGGAAACCTCTCCCTTTCCCCTCAGCATGGCTGGCTCAGGAATTCTGGGAGTTGAAGTCCACGAGTCATAAAAGAGCCAAGGTTGCCTACCCCTGTCCTAAGTCCTCCTGTTCTAAGCAGTGAGTCTTCTAGACCAGGGGTAGGCAACCTTGGTTCTTTTATCACTCGTGGACTTCAACTGCCAGAATTCCTGAGCCAGCATGAGAGAAACTTTGCCCCCCTCATGACTGGTGGACTTCAACTCCCAGAATTCCTGAGCCAGCCTGGCTCAGCTTGGAAACCTCTCCCTTTCCCCTCAGCATGGCTGGCTCAGGAATTCTGGGAGTTGAAGTCCACGAGTCATAAAAGAGCCAAGGTTGCCTAGCCCTGGTCTAGGAGATCTCCAAGGTCCCTTCCAACTCTGTTATTCTGTTACACACCTGCCAGCTAAACAAGAGATCTTGTTGAGAAACATTATTCCACTGGAGAGATTTGGGCCAGGGTGGGCAAATAGTCCATCCTGTTCATAAGCCACAGATTAAGTAGAAGGGGCTTTGGGGCCATTTGTCTAAGAATGGTGGGAGAGAATGAACAGTCTGCCTTCAGAAGTTGTGGATGCTCCATCACTGAAGGTTTTTAAGAGGGGATTGGACAGCCATTTGTTTGAAATTGTATAGGGTTTCCTACTTGAGCAGGAGGTTGGACTAGATGGCCTCCCCAGTCCCTTTCAACTCTGTTATTCTATCTGTCTTTTCTGTCCAATGAGGAAGTGTGAACAAGGTTGCTTTGCTCAGCCCTCTTAAACCTTTGAAGTACTGAGTGTGGGCTTCTTCCATTACTGTTCATCCTACACAACAGCAGTGGCTGTTAGTTGTGGTAGATGCCCATACTTATTTATTTATTTATTAATAAAATTTAGGCTGCATTAACAGAGGGATAGAATCAAGATCACGTGAAGTATTAATACCATTCTTCAATGCCTTGGTAAGGCCACACTTGGAATACTGCATCCAGTTTTGGTCACCACGATGTAAAAAAGATGTTGAGACTCTAGAAAGAGTACAGAGAAGAGCAACAAAGATGATTAGGGGACTGGAGGCTAAAACATATAAGGACCGGTTGCGAGTATTGGGTATGTCTAGTTTAACGAAGAGAAGGACAAGGGGGGACATGATAGCAGTATTCCAATATCTCAGGGGCTGCCATAAAGAAGAGGGAATTAAGCTATTTTCCAAAGCACCTGAAGGCAGGAAAAGAAGCAACGGGTGGAAACTAATCAAGGAGAGAAGCAACCTAGAACTAAGGAGAAACTTCCTGACAGTGAGAACAATTAATCAGTGGAACAACCTGCCTCCAGAAGCAGTAAATGCTCCAACACTAGAAGTTTTTAAGAAGAGCCTGGACAGCCATTTGTCCGAAATGGTGTAGGGTTTCCTGCCTGAGCAGGGGGTTGGCCTAGATGACCTCCAAGGTCCCTTCCAACTTTACTACTATTACTTATATGCCGCCCAATCCCTAGGGACTCAGGGCGGCGTACAAAATTAAAACAATAAATATAACAATAAAACAATAAAATAAGTGCATTCATACAGCGTGTCCAGTCGTACCCCAGCCCCCCCCCGGGGACATCAACCCCAGGCCTGCCGGAACAGGAGAGTTTTAATGGCTTTCTTAAAGGCTGGCAAGGTGGGAGTAGTTCGAATCTCGGGGGGAAGTTGATTCCACCAGGTCGGAGCCACCACAGAAAAGGCCCTTCCCCGAGGGCCCGCCAGCCGACATTGTCTGGCTGACGGGACCTGAAGGAGGCCCAATCTATGGGACCTCACCGGTCTCTGGGAACTGTGCGGCAGTACAGTAAGTAACCTGATCCTAAGCCATGAAGGGCTTTAAAGGTGATAATCAACACCTTGAATTGCGTCCGGAGACCCACAGGAAGCCAGTGCAGCTCACGGAGGATAGGTGACACGTGGGTGTACCTTGGTGCACCCACAATCGCTCTCGCGGCTGCATTCTGAACCAACTGCAGCCTCCGAACGCTCTTCAAGGGTAGCCCCATGTAGAACGCATTACAGTAATCCAGTCTTGAGGTGACAAGGGCATGAGTGACCATGAGTAGAACCTCCCGGTCCAAATAAGGCCGCAACTGGTGCACCAGGCGAACCTGGGCAAAGGTCCCCCTGGCCACAGCCAATAGATGTCGTTCCAAATTTAGCTGTGAGTCCAGGAGGGCACCCAAGTTGCGTGCCTGCACTGAGGGAGGTAAATTTACCCCCCCCAGGGCTAATGATGGACCATCAGGATGACCCTTGGGGGGCAAGACCTAGAGCCACTCGGACTTGTCAGGGTTGAGTCTAAGCCTGTTCACCCCCATCCAGACCCTCACATCTTCCAGGCACCGGCACATCACATCGACTGCTTCACTGAAAGGACACGGGGTGGAGATATACAATTGGGTATCATCCGCATACTGATGATACCTCACCCCGTGTCGCCGAATGATCTCACCCAACAGTTTCATGTACTTACTCTTTCAGGGCTTAAACAAATTGGGCAAAACATCTATGTTCACCTCTCCCTTTTTCTATGGAAGGAGTACTTGAGGGGGTACTTTTGGCAATGACCAAGGACTAAGGGTGACTTGATAGCAGTGTTCCAATATCTCAGGGGCTGTCAGGAAGAAGAGGTGGTCCAGCTATTCTCCAAAGCACCTGAAGGCAGGACAGGAAACAACAGATGAAAACTAATCGAAGAGAGAAGCAACCTAGAACTAAGGAGAAATTTCCTGACAGTGAGAACAATTAACCAGTGGAACAACCGGCTTCCAGTAATTATGGGTACTCCATCACTGGAGATTTTTAAGAAGAGATTAAACAACCAGTTGTCTGAAATGGTGTAGGGTTTCCTGCCTGAGCAGAGGGTTGGACTAGAAGACCTCCATGATTCCTTCCAACTCTGTTATCCTGTTATTCTGGAGAAATCCCCCCCCCCATGGATTCCATTTTATGAGATTTCAGAGAAATGTGGGAAGCTAGAAAGAGGATGGACCTGAAGGCAGGACAAGAGGCAATGGAGGGAAACCAATCAAGGAGAGAAGCAACCTAGAACTAAGGAGAAACTTCCTGACAGTGAGAACAATTAACCAGGGGAACAGCTTGCCTTCAGAAGTTATGGCTCTCCATCACTGGAGCTTTTAAGAAGAGATTGGGCAACCATGTGACTGGAATGATATAGGGTCTGTGGCTTGAGCAGGAGGTGGACTAGAAGACCTCCAAGGTTCCTTCCAACTCTCTTAGTCTGTTACCCTCCATCTCCCTGACTCTCTGGTTCAGTTGCATCAGCTTGACAATGACACACCACAGAGACAGCCTGGCCTTTTGTGCCTTGGAGCAGGATAAGAGGGTTGACAACCACGGGCCCTCAGCTTTGGGAGCTAAAATGCCAGCCTCTCGCCACCCACTTCCCCGGCGTAGGCTGTTCACACTGCTTGGGGGTGACTCAGCAGGTAAGGAGAGCTGCCAGCTCACCTTCAATCACACATTGCTGTTCATCTGGTCTCCAAAATGCAAGAGGAATTATGGGCAGCTGTGGGAGCCAAGCCAGTCAGATACCAACCCTCCTTCAGCTGTTGCAGAGGTCTCTTTTGCACTAATTGCTCCTGGCCTCTTTGGGATCCACTCCTCCAGGCACAAACACACCACAAATCTCACAATCCTAGCATCCTTGCCAATTTTCCACCATCAGCCTCCTCCCTTTTCCAGTCCACCTTCTCCTCCTTGTACCTCCAGGATAGATGTCAACCAAAGACCCTAGTCTCTCGTAGACTGGATGCTCTTCCATATTCCCTTGAGGTGGCGGGAGGCAGAAACGGGGGCGGGTGAGTTTTCTGCATGGATGTGTTGCTGGCTTCTATTACGGAGTGGAGCAGAGGCTTCCCTACACATCAATGTGCAGTGTCAATCCTTTGCACAACACCACCGCTGGAGCGCTCGTCTCCATGGGAACCGGATGCAGGTTACTAGGTTACCCATTGAGATGCAAATTCTTCTCGACTAGCCAGCCTCCTCCTTGCAAGACTCTGGGGGGTCTGGGTGAAGGTAAGTAGCCTAATCAGAAGTGGCTGCTTTCCTTCCTCCAGATATCCAGCACAGGTATTTGGGCCTCCTGTAAAATACTTTAAGCCGTGAAAAATCGAAGCAAAGGGATGCATTTATTTCTCTGGGGGTAAAGAGAGATACACAGCCCTTGGGAAGCATTGTAAGCTCAGGATGGATGGCTTCAGACAGCAAAGTGGGTGGTCTTTTTTCCCCTCCTCTGGGTACCTCAGTTTCCCCAGTTGAATTCTAGGAGCATCTATATTCTACCTGCCTATTTAAATGGGGCACGTAATTTTAAGAGCTGCTAGGAGAGAATATTTATAGCTCAGGGTTGTCCTAACCCATATTGATGTATAATTAAATGATATGTCAGAAGTTGTGGGAGCTTCATCATCAGTGCTTGAAGGGAGTGGAGTTTATGGGTTATTCTATTCTATTCTATTCTATTCTATTCTATTCTATTCTATTCTATTCTATTCTATTCTATTCTATTCTATTCTATTCCTTCCATTCCATATTCTCTTCTCTTCTCTTCTCTTCTCTTCTCTTCTCTTCTCTTCTCTTCTCTTCTCTTCTATTCCACTCCATTCCATATTCTCTTCCCTATTCTATTCTATTCTATTCTATTCTATTCTATTCTATTCTATTCTATTCTATTCTATTCTATTCCACTCCATTCCATATTCTTTCTCTTCTCTTCTCTTCTCTTCTCTTCTCTTCTCTTCTCTTCTCTTCTCTTCTCTTCTCTTCTCTTCTCTTCTCTTCCCTTCTCCTCTCCTCTTCTCTTCTCTTCCACTCCATTCCATATTCTCTTCTCTTCTCTTCTCTTCTCTTCTCTTCTCTTCTCTCTCTTCTCCTCTCCTCTTTTCTTTTCGTCTATAGTCTAGTCTAGTCTATATTCTATTCTATTCTATTCTATTCTATTCTAATCTATTCTATTCTATTCTATTCTATTCTATTCTATTCTATTCTATTCTATATTCTCTTCTCTTTTCGTCTATAGTCTAGTCTAGTCTATATTCTATATTCTATATTCTATATTCTATTCTATTCTATTCTATTCTATTCTATTCTATTCTATTCTATTCTATATTCTCTTCTCTTCTCTCCTCTTTTCTTTTCATCTATAGTCTAGTCTATTCTCTATTCTATTCTATTCTATTCTATTCTATTCTATTCTGTTCTGTTCTGTTCTGTTCTGTTCTATTCTATTCTATTCTATTCTATTCCATGTTATTCCTTCTGTTCTTTCTGACAAGGGATGTGGCTCCAGCCTCAGTGTTGTGGCTTGTAAGCCGGTGTTTCATGGCTCAGCACGACATCTAAGCCCAAATAACTGTGCCTTGTTCAGAGAAATCTGATTTTAGAAAAGTGCTTGTTTTCTAAAATTTAACCCGCTGTTTGTTTCCATGGATTGGTGAAATTGAACACTGGATGGTTGTGTTTTTAAGCTGGCGTCGCTGCTGGGCAAAAATATTCTTGGACAATGAAAGAAACCTCTACTTCTATTAGCAAAGAAACAAACAAACAAGTACTGCCCGGACGGCTGCCAAAATTGCAGCTGTCATTCACTTCGGAGTCAGCAGCAATCATGGAGGCTGCAAAGAAACAGACAATCAAACCACCGTCTGTTGTTTGATTGTGGAGGCCTGTTGGTGGGTGTGAAAACTTTCATTGTGGGATCTTGCGTCTCTTTTCACCAAGCACATGAGTGTTTCTCTTTGTAAATAGGTCCTCTGATCCCTTGGAAAGTTGCTATTTTGGGCACCGCTGGCCTTGAAATGATCTGCCTTTGGATGCACCAAACAGAGCGTCTGTCTATTACTTGCACATAATGGGCTCCCAGCTGTGTTTGGAGGAGCTGGAAGAATCAAGGCATCTGATGATCCTTGAACTGGAAAGCAATGTGGTGTTCTGCTTAATGGACAGAAAGGAAACACACACATGCACAGAGAAAGAGAGAGAGGTGCACGCACATGTGTGCGCGCGCACACACACACATACACACACACAGAGCAGATCATATGTTCCAAGCGAGAAAGATATATTCAGAATTAAAAGAGGAGACAGTTAGGAAAGATGATGCAGAAGAAGACCCAGAATGACACAGCATTGTGTATCTAAGTTGTGTACATGAAAGGAAGTGTATTTGTTTGTGTGCATGTGTGATGACCCAGGGCACAGCACAGAGGCAACGCAGTCAGCTGGCAATCCAAACTGCCCTTTAATTGCTCCAAATTTTCCCCAAATGCTCCCATGTTTCTGGCAAGCCTCAAAACAAAGGAAGATACATACATCTTCAGCCGCCTCTGGCTGCAAGTAGTTTCACACACAGTCTGATTAGGAGAGGAATTTACTCAAGGCCACGGAGATAACAAGGAATGACACATACCTCATAAACCTAACAAGTCTGTGTGAATACATGCTTGCCTGAGCAGTTTCAGAAGTGAAGCCAAAATACAATCTGAGGTCTTTGAACATCCAAGCAACGTTGTCAGTCAGTCCAATGGTCAGAGTTTCCAGGCTTCCAAGCATAAATTACAACACAAGAGATCAGCAACAACACACACAAAACTCCAAGGAATCAGCGTTTGTTCCTGACAAATGCCTCTCCCCACCGCGTCTCCTTAAATCTCAGTCTCTGGGTGTACCTTGTGGAGAGGGACGGGACGCTCTCTTCCTGAGTAGTTGAGCCTGCCTGCGTTGTTCCCTCCTTCTGCCCACTCTCCATGCTCTAGGAACAGGTGGGGGTGGCCCTTTCTGAGCTCTGTCTCTCCTGTTCCTCCTATCCCACTCCTGAAGGGCCCTGGCCTGCCTCGTCCTGCTCTTCCCCACATCCCTCTGAAGCCATAGACCCCTCTCCCTTGACCTCCATAGGGTCCCGTTCCAGCTCATTTTCCTCCGCCGATTCAGGCTCCGACGGAGGCATGACAGCATGTTACATAAGGGTGTCTATGTGTATCCAGCTGGGCTGGAAAATTCCTGTGGGTCATTTCCAGTGTATTCGGCACCCAACACACTCCTACTGTATTTCCCCGAAAAGAAGAGCCAACTGGAAAATAAGCCCTAGCGTAATTTTTTTCAGGACTCTCATAATATAAGCCCCATCTCAAAAATAAGCCCATGTTAAGATTGTCAGCCAGATGGATGCATTTAGTACCGCATTTCTCCAAAATGTAAACCCTAACTGGAAAATAAGCATGATTTTTCAGGACGCTTGTAATATAAGCCCCATCTGAAAAATAAGCCCCAGCTAAGATCATCAGCCAGATGCCATGGTTCCGACAGATGAAACTCTTCAAAAGAACTTTGAGGCATTGCTTACCTTAAAGAATCTTTTATTTGAGTAGCATAATACCGGCACTTACATATTCGAAGCCAAAAACTGAATTCCCCTCCCCTGGGCACAAAGTAGCAAAGCACAATTCCCTCCTCCAATTAACAGTCATAAATCGCATTCCCCAATTAGTTTGAAGCGCAGGCTTCCTCTCCTGTTCTCCAGCCTGCCAATTCTTTATCAGCTCTGGGCTCAATAACCTTGATTCTCATGCTATGTTTAGTGTTGTTATCTCTAGCTGGACTCTCATTCACACACACCCCTCCCAGCATCCGGTCTTATTTTCAGGGAAACCCGTTCATATCCAGATCGGAGGAAGCACACATGCTACTCAATTCGGCTAGAATAAAATATAGCTGGAAGTTTATTTAGGAAACATTTGCCTAAATCACAAATAATTACAGTAAGTCCTTGACTCAGAACCACAATCAGGATCAGAATTTCTGCTGCTAAGGGAGGTGGCTGTTCAATGACTCATGCCTGATTTTATGACCTATTTTGACATGGTTGCTAAGCGAATCACCGCAGCTGTTGAGGGAGTCCCAGGGTCATGAAGTGAATCCAGCTTTTGCCACAGACTTCGCTTGGTGGAAAGCTGGAGGGACGGTCACGAATGGTGATTGCATGAACTCAGAACAACGCCAGAGGGAGACGGAGGGAGGGGGAGGGAAGGGGAGGCAGGAGAGAGAAGGGAGGGGAAGGGGAGAGGGAGAGGGAGAGAGGGAGGGTGAGAGGAAAGGGGAGGGAGAGGGAGAGGGAAGCGAGATGAAGAGGGAGAAGGAAGGAGAGGCAGAGGGGGGAGAGGCAGAGGCATAGGGAGAGGGAGAGGGAGGGAGAGGGGGGGGAGGAGGAGAAGGAGGGGAAGGGGGAGAGGGGAGGGGAGGGGGAGAGGGAGAGGGAGAGGGAGGGAGAGGCAGAGGGGGAGTTGGGGACAGGTAGAGGAAGACAGAGAGAGAGGGAGGGGAGAGAAAGAGAGGGGGAAGGAGGAGGAGGGGAAGGGGGAGAGGGAAGGGGAGGCAGAGAGGGAGAGGGAGAGAGGGAGGGGAAGGGGAAGGAGAGGGAGAGGGAGAGGAAGGGGGAGAGGAAGAGGGACAGTGAGAGAGAGGCAAAGGGGGAGTTGGGGAGAGGCAAAGGGAGAGGAGAGAGTGGAGGAAAGGAGGAAAGGGGGAGAGGACAGGGAGAGGGAGGGATAGGCAGAAGGGGAGAGAGAGAAGGAGAGGGAGAGAGAAGCAAATAAAAGACCCAACAGGCCAGAATTTATATGAACTACCTCTACATTAATGAGCATAGGACTTTGCAGAACCCCTGTAAATAACAAAGAAACAAGAGTCTGGACAGCCATTTATCCAAAATGGTATAGGGTCTCTTGCTTGAACAAGGGGTTGGACTAGAAGACCTCCAAGGCCCCTTCCAACTCTGTTATTCTGTTATTCTCCAAAGCCCCTGAAGGCAGGACAAAAAGCAACAGATGGAAACTAACCAAGGAGAGAAGCAACCCAGAAATAAGGAAGAATTAACCAG